TCCAGGCAGACTGAGACCTGGTGGCTAAGTCTGATATGCTGTTGCTATTGTTTATATATGTTCATTAGATTTGTAGATTCGTTTCCTTGACCTAATAAACTCACTTGTTTTTATCTGGTACCATATGTATTTTTATGAACCATCTCAGATCCTTTTTTGGAGCAAGAAAAGTTATAAATAAATTAGTGTAGAACGTGATAGTTCACAAAACACTTACACATCTCATTTTATTCTGACGAGAGTCTTATGAGGGAAGAATCATTCCCCCATGATAGATGAGCACACTGAGGCTTAACCAGCTGAACTGACTCTGCTGAGGTCACATGGAGAGTGAATGACAGAGGTAGGTATCTAACTGTCACTCTCTGCTTCTGAGTCCAGTGCCCACAAGTCCTGGCCACCGCTGTTAAGGGACCAATGTAGAACCTGTGTGTTCTAAGGTATTTATAAGTTGCTGTTTTTTGTTTTTGTTGTTTGTTTGTTTTTTAAGATAGTTACTAACATTTTCAGGGGTTTTTTTGTAGAGACGAGGTCTCACTGTATTTTATTGCCCAGGCTGGTCTTGAACTCCCAGGCTCCCACTTCGGCCTCCCAGAGTGCAGGGATTACAGGTGTCAACTACCCCGTGCCTGGCAAGTTTTCACTTAAATTGGCAATGTTTTAAAGAAAAATGAAAAAATCTATTAGGAATATTCTGAGATATTAATGCTTTTTTCTGTGATCCTGAGTAATACAAATTGTGACTTTTCAGGAAACGTCGGGAATGTTTAAAAGGTTTAAAATAAATCTTTAGTCATCTGCTAAGGGTTAAAGTGTACTACATCAATTGTTTTCAGAAAACAAACAGTGCCTAATGGTTTGGTCTTGGCAAAATGTGAAAAATATAAACTGATTAAACTTATTTTAATGAGTATTTACCTGCAATTTGTCTCAAATCCAGGTGTAATCTAGATTCATTATCTTGCCCCTTCTGTCTGGGAACTGTGAGTGCTGAGCACAGGCCTGGCAGGCTGGGAAAAAAGGAATTAGAAAGGAAACTGTTGAGCCAGGAATTCCAATCCTATGTGTCTATAGGATCAGTTTAGCCTCTGACTCAGAAGGAACAAAATATAGACAGTGGCTAAGCCCAACAAAGAGACAGAGAGGCAAGTAGAGGGGAAAGAATCTCAAAGCCCAGCTCTCCTCGGTACCTCTTGGAGCCTCAGAGCAAATCACTTCTGCTGCTACTGCCTTGTTATGACCCTGGGCTTCCCATGGGCCTAAGGGTGCCTTTTGGCAGGAGTCTCCATAATCGGCCAGAGTGTTTTGCTAGCCTCACTGTTTCCCTCCTTGCAGCATTGATCCAGTGGGATTACAGCAAATCACCCCAGCCTGTGCAGGAACCATGGAAGTTGTCACACCTTTCCCAGATCCGTTTGCCTACACAGAAATCATTGTTTTAGACAAGGCATTAATGGAAAAAGTGGGCAGGCAGGCAGCCAGCCAGCCAGCTATCCATCTCCTGCATCACACAGTCTCTTCCTCCCAGAATCTGAGAAAAGAAAATCAAGTGGAAAAATTTCAGCTCAAGAAGTAAGATATGGTTTTGGTTTTGGCCCTTGCTTCAGAACCCCAGGTATAAAATGAGAAATATGAAAACCTTGATTTGCTTTTCAAGCTTGAGAATAATACGATTTTTTTTGTAGTCTGATTTTTATTTAAACCATTACTCAGTGAAACCTCAATGTCTAAAAGTTTATACACCCCATAGCCCTGCAGTTTTAAGTCTAAAGGAGGTCACCATGCTATGCAGAGTATCTTGCAGCATATTTTTTCAGAAGACAGATCTGGGATACAGCAGCATCTGAACATTTACATGTCAAGTGTGTAAATGCTTTGGAAGCCTCAAAGGAAAAATCCCTGACACACCTGGCAAGCCTGGAACCTGATCTCTCGTTCTTCCTCGCTGTTTCACATCGCACTGACATGGCGCACAGGGGGAGGCTCAGAAAGAAAGAAAACAAAACCCACTGCTTGAGAAGTTAGATTGCGTAGTAAGCTCATTCAAGTAATAATCAACAAAAGCAGGCAAAATCACACATAGATTCACATATTTCCAAGAGCCATTCTTGGGCTTTTTCAAATGGCATGAATATACAACTAGCTTTACAATGTAGCATTTGGTTAAAAGCAGTTAATCATATTACCCCTAAATTTTTATGCTCAGAAGTCTCACACGAATGATATTTGACTTTACTTCAAAGCCATTCAACCTGAAAGATTTCCAAGCATGTCACATGTCACATTTAGCTACTTTTGCTCTGAAGGGCTTTCAGCCAACTGGCTCACATTCATTGCCTAGAAAAGCAGAGGCAGAAAAATGCTTAGCCAGTCCACAAGCAAATAGGTCGGCTCCTGAAATAAATTGTATTATGCTTGTTCTAAACAAACCACGCAAGTTTTCTCATTTAGATTATCAGAGCAGTAGGACCCGTTAACTAAATGCATCATGTAATCGTAAAGATATATTGGTTCTCCTGTTAAGCAAATCTCCATTCTTCATGTCAGAATCCAGTTTATTACTTCAGACCCAGCTCAGATGCCAACCCCATAAAGCTTTTTCATGTTTTCCTTCCCCAACTGTGACTTCTGGTTTGTCTCTGCCTTTTTTGTATACATAACTTGGAGTGTTCAGTGTGAGGGTTACCTGTGTGTTTGCCTTATTCATGTTACTGGATTGTAAGGAAATGAGTGTGGAAGGTACTTTATTGACATAACCTTTCAGAATGCCTTACTTCAAGTGGATTCTAAATGTTTGTTGACTCTAGTTGACTTACCAAACAGCCTAATCACTATCTAACATAATTTGTCAGGTCCCAACCAAAAGTATATACCTACACATTTCTTTATGGTAATTTTCTTTTTCAGATAACCTTCAGATTATGCATGTATCCTGGTCATTTTTCTTTTGCTCATTAGCAATAACTACAACATCTTAAACATTAAAACTCAGACATGTAATTAAAGGTCTCTTTCCCTCCTGCTTCCTCACATGGACACTGATAGAATTAACCCTACACAGACATTTGTAACCCCAAACTTTAGAACCACACTTGCCTTTTGGATTCCTGGGCCTTTTTTGTTTGTTTTTTTTTTTCTGAGATAGAATCTTGCTCTGTCGCCAGACTGGAGTGCTGTGGCGCGATCTTGGTTCACTGCATCCTCCAACTCTCTGGTTCAAGCGATTTTCCTGCCTCAGCCTCCCTGGTAGCTGGGATTACAGGCACGCACCTCCACACCCAGGTAATATTTGTATTTTTAGTAGAGACAGGATTTCGCCATGTTGGCCAGGATGGTCTCCATCTCCTGACCTCATGATCTGCCTGCCTTGGCTTCCCCAAAGTTCTGGGATTACAGATGTGAGCCACTGTGCCTGGCTGATTCCTGAGCCTCTCATGCCTTTGTTTCTGCCTGAAATCTTTCCTGGAACAAACTAGAGCATAAAGAAATGAAAGAATTGCTTAAAACAAAGAAACAAATATGTCTTTATTTGTGCTTTTTTGTCATTCAAGAAATAGACATTTAGTTACTTAATAAGTGACAGGCTGGGTCCCATGGATACTAAGGAATAGTTCTGTATGGATATTATTGTATGACTGTTGCAGCTTTTCTTGACCCCCTTGACCTTTCTGACATGTTTGTTGATCATGCATTTGTATAATAGTATCTTTTATCCTAGATATATTTGTATTAAAAATAAGTACAGGCAGGTTGAAATCAAGATAGAATATTTTTTCATAAATTATTTTTAGTTTTAAAATATTTTGATCATATGCACACAGCTTGTGTTTACATGACAATAAAAAGCCTTTGTTCAAGAAGGAAACTAACTGGAGCATATGCTTTTGGACCACAATATTTTGACCAAAAAAATATGGTTCTCCCCTTTTTCATCTGTTCCCCCCCACCCCCCATATTGAAGGGAGTTTTCCAAATGAAGGGTTTCAGCTAGGTTGTGTCCAGGTCAGTTCTCCTCTAGAAGGCTCTGTGTAGTCATCAGTGGGGAGCCCTATGCTGCCTTATCTTTAGCTTCCCACACACTTTGTGTCTCACACAACAGATATGTTCCTTTAAGTTTGGATTTTTATGAAATAAATTTTGCAAGCTGGGAGCACTGAGAGTTAAATGAATTTGATATTCTTTTGAAAACAGAAAAGTGTTCTTTTGAAATATGAATGTTTCTCCGTAATTACAGTAACTTCTGTTGTGGTCAGTTGCTGTGGTAAGTTTAAATCAGCCTGTATCTGCAGAAAAACAGTTGGGATGGGCGGGGGTTGGGAGGGTGTTCAAAGCAACGCTGTACTTTTGAAAACATGACCCAGCATTATGCATAGAAACAAACTTACCAAGACCCGTAATAGATGCTATGGCTGACTTACCTGAACATATAAAATAATTGGCCCTTTGGTTGGTATCATTTTTTTATGTTGTCAATATTTCTGTGAAAATTTTAAGTTCCTAGAGAAAGTATAACCTTGAAAAAGAATCGTCAGGTCAGCTAATAGACAAAGACAAACAAGTATTCATGGGAATCTATAATTGCTGAAAAGCTACATTTGACCTTAAAAATTGCATGTTGGAGCCCTGGCAAAACAAAGCCAAAAAGAAAAAAGGCACCTGCCGTTATTTATGCGGTATTTCCAACGATGCTGTTATTTATGTGTTTACATGTGTTCACTTCTACCTAATGAGAAAAGATCTTAATACATTTTGGTTTGGACACTGAAAATGTTCCACTAAGGTTCCTGTACAGTTTCTGTAATGGCTGTAATTTGTAAAATCCAGTAGGAACAGGAGGTGATTATACTGGAATTCAGTCTGAAGAATTGTTTTAGCAGGAATTTTATATGCAAGACTAAATGCTAATCAACAGAGCATAATATTGTATTCTGAAGTATGCTAGCCAAAGCAAAATTAATTTTTTTCTTCTCTTTTTCTTCTCCTGAAATCTTCTGCTATAGCGACTGCATTTGCCTCCAGACTTGTCAGACACAGTGAGCCGCTCAAGCAAACAGGATCTGGCAGGATCCACCAAGCGGCTGGGCCCAGGCTGTGGCATGATGGCCGGAGGCAAGAAGCACCTGGACTTCTAGGGATTCCTCTTTAGCCGTTGCATGCAGAATTCTATGACACTCTAATTATGATTGCTAATAGCTTATGTAAATATTTTTCTTAACAATTTGACCCTCCACTCCTTGAAAAACACAGGATTGTGAAATGGAGCCACCATTTCTCATTTTTTAACTTTTTACAGAAGTAACACAGCAGAAATACTTTTCAATTTTTCCTTCATGCTATAGAGAAAATAATTTTATTTTTAAATAAACACCAAAAAATGTCAAAAATCTCAAAATGCCTGACAGTGGTCATTCGTGTCCATGTACTAAGGCATTTAGTGTCATGGTAATGTGCATGTCACAGCAGGTAGCATACAAAACATGATGAAATTCAAGATTGTATATGAAAATATATTTTCTCTTTATTTCAGAAACAGTCACTTGCCACCAAAAATGCTAAGTTTTTTTAATGAAAATGTGTTTGCTAATATATAAAATAAATTTGCATTTATGTATCTGGTTATTAAATTAATAAAGATAAAATAATATTTGGAGATTTAGACTCCATTAAAGATAATTAGTCTACCATAGTAGTTATTAAATATAAAGAACTTGAAAGGAAACAGAAAAAAGAAGTGGATGGTCTTTAGTTTAGTAATCCTAAACAATTGAAGTCAGTACTATGAAATTATGTCAACAGGCATCATTCAGGATTGAAATTCAAACTGACAGCTACATTAATGCTAGGATACCAGGAGAAAAACATACTGAAGCTTGTTGAGAGATTTTACAGAACATAGGTCTGAGACAAAGTGAAAAAATGAAACTAACTCAGATTTTCATTGCATCACATAAACCTTTTGTTAATTATGAACATCGGTTGAGTGTGTAAATTTCTAACCATATAAATACGTCTTTGGGGGCGTATAGCATATTGAACCAGTTTTCATATAAAACACTAGGTGTTTTAATTATAATTCCATATTCTCAAAGCTTTTGACAGATAATAGATAAAAAATGAAAGTTAAAAAGTAACTTGCATATTTAAGAGTCTTGATTTTTTTAAAAGGTGTTTAACATCCATTGGGAGAAACTGAATTTCCAAAATACATTTTCAAATGTATTCGAATATTTTGAAGCAGTTATAACTAGCATTTTTAAGCAGCTTGCTTTTAATATACCACAAATTATACTTTATTTGTTCTTGACAACATTGTAGAAAACAAAGACTAGGTTTTTAAAACTGTCTAACCAATATGATGAATGTCAGTCACTTAAAAAAACCCACTGTAGCATAAACACATACTGTATACAGCTTTTATTCAGAATTAGAATAATTGAATCAATGACAGTGATTTGCCAGGATGTCAAATCTCTCCATCATATCCTGTCACTACCAGTTTATTTTTTGTGATCAAAATGAAAGAGACAACTATTTTGTCACCCGCTATTTCATTAGTACTAAAAATCAGGTTTCTTATTCTATTTTTTTAGAATGTCTGGTTTATTTTTTTCATTTCTTTTAATTCTAAAGACACAAATTCTTCCCCATTTTCTTTTCAAAATAAAGTTTCAGAATTGATCTGTCAGTTAAAATTAAAGGGCTTTTATATTAAGCAAAGGTGCTTTTAAATTTTAAAGCAACTTCAGAAAATTGATTTAGTCCATAGATAATAATGTTGTGCGGATACTCCACAAAAGCTCTGCTATGTCCTTTGAAAGCATTATGAACATTCTGAATAAATTCAAATGAGTATTTTAGTCAGGTTATTATTTTAATAACTCTAACCTTTTTCTTACCGTGTTGATTCATTTTATACAAACACACAATGGAACAATTACATAGCATATGACTCTCTGAAAAAGAGATGTGAGGTCATCAGATATGCAAATTGCTTGTCAAAATACTTAATAGGTCATTGATTTACTTCCCTGGCTACCATGTCTATAAAATTAACAGCCAATTACTAGTTAATATATGCTTTGCAAATAGATAAATACTATAAAAATTGAATATACATATTTGAACCCTTATTTTCAATATAAAATAAACTTTTCAAACTCAGTAAAAGTGCATTTTGAATAATAAGAGTACCTGGGCTTCCAAAAATCATATCCAAGTGCTTTGTTTTTCTAATTCACTGGGCAGGCTTTGTAAAAATAAGCTACTGAAGAGGGGTATGTATTTTTGTCTTCCTCTGATAAAAACCCACTCTGAAAATGTGTTTTCCTTTCTTCTGGAAACATTATTTGTTACTCATTATGTTTAATAACAATAGCATATTGTTACTCATTATGTTAATAACTTACATAAACATATCGCTCTTCAATAGTGCTACTGTAGGTATAGACACCATTTTGATACATTATGAAATATACACTCCATTAACAGGTTTTTTAAAATTATCAGCTTGACTCAAAGATATAAATACTTAAGAACAATGCCAAACATAGTATCTGAAATGATATCTTTTCAGTGTTTCTAGTATATGAATTTCAAAACACTATATGGTATTCATTTCTTACACTAGATTTGCCTTTCTTTAACATGAGGTAAGTATTTTGACTACTGCAGTTTGCTCAGGTGCTAGGTTTCTAAGACTTTCTGAATTTCCTTCTAGTAGCCACCAGACAATATCTACTTTTCTCTTCCATTTATTCCTTATGTCCATCTCCAGGATCTTTAAATACTAACAGTAGACAAAATAAAACTACTTTAGAAGGAAGCGACATTCTGCAATCAATTCCCTGTCCATCTTTTAATTTTAACAAATCAGACACACATAGGCATACAAAAGGAGAGTGGGGGGACCCCCCTATTCATTTATTTAAGCCCATTATTAATGTCATTTCTAAGACAGTGTGTTACTGCTTTCCAAAGATAGTCACCATCAACATTATTGAAATGAGCAGTACTAACCCTAAGTACTTACACTTTGAACTTTAAAACTGAGCAGTTGAGTCATTCAGTACCAAGCCAAAACACAGAAAAACAAAAAAGCAGATGAGGTTTATTCTTGAGAAATGAAAAAGAGAAGAATATATATTTGGCCTTGGTGAGCCAAACATACAGAGAAGAAAAGGCTTTTTTTAATCTTACTAATATGAGAGACCTAGAGTAAAAAGTAAGAAGCAAAGGAATATAGACACAATCCTAAGATGACAAACATTCACAGAACAAAGCTGAATCTTAAAATAATACTGTATAAGTGAATCTTAGGAAACCTAGTGACAATAGAAAGAAGGAAGAAATGTCAGTGAGCTGTGTCAAGAAACCAGTTGTTTACCATTTAAGGGTTAGGAGGCATAGCTTTGGGGGGGAAATATTCTGGAAATTCATTGCAGTAAAATGCATTTTTTTACTTAGAGCAGTTTGAATGTTTATTACTTAAAACATTCAGCTCTTATTCTGTTCACTTGGTTTTCCCAAGTCCGTAAAGTTTGGAGAAAAATTTTAGGCTTTTAGTCCTGTGATTCTACTGAGATCTTCACAAATAATCTCCGTCCTGGAAGATGGCCTCAAAACATCCCTGCAGATACCCCATTGATAAATATATAAATATATGTATCATTAAATAAATAATAAAAATAAATTATTTCAACCATGAGTAAAAGTTGCCAACTCCCAGGCACTGCTACCACACAGTGCCTGGCATGCTGTCCCCGAGAGAGTGCCTGGAGCTCTGTTTGGAGGGACAATTCATGTCCCTAGGGTGTGGGCAGAAGGCAAGGCAGCCGTTCCCATCCTGCTGGATCAGAGGGCTTCTGCAGCTGAGCACCCGCTTCTTCAGACTCATACCAGACTGTGCCACTTTGCCCTGGCAATCCTGACCCTCAGAACACACATATACGTGCCCAAGGGCATACATACCCTCCGCTCCCACATCACTCCTTTTCTCCCATTCCCACCTCCTGCACCTGGCGTGCCACACCCAGGTCTCCAAAGTCTCTGCTCTCTACACAACAGAACCGTGGGCCAGAACTGGCTGCCTGACCCTGGTGGAAGTTACAGCCAGTGAGAAGGAAGAAGTAAGCCAGCCAGCAGCTGTGGCATGCACTCCCACATAGCCCTTCTCTGACAGTTCCCTCAGCACACGGCCCTCAGGGAATGTAGGCTGCAAAATGTCAGGAGGTAGAAATGTCTGCACTGGCAATTGTACCAACAGTGCATACGTGTGCGCACTCCCCTGCAGAAATGTGCCGCTGTGCAGTGCAGGCTGACACTGAACAAAACGACATGCACACATACAAAAACTGCAGTCAACTTAGGAAGGTGTCTCCAAATGTGCAGCAACTCTGGTGGCATAAAATTAGTAGTATATTTCATGCCAGAGCGATGAATCTCAATTATCTGTTCACAAGTAATTCCTTAACTAAAAAACAGTAGATATTGAACTAGAAGGTCATGTTTAAATCCTTCCATTAATTTCTATATTTCTGATCATTTGCTTTTGGGGATTTTTTTAAAGCAGAGTAGAATTCAGTGGAAGTGTGTCTTTGTCCCCAGAGGTTTCCGCATGTGCAAGCATTTTAATCTAGACTGCCAGAACCCCCAGGCTTTTTACTGAAGTTTGCAGAGGAAGACTTATCTGTATTGACTTATATGTTGCACAGAACAAATAAAAGTCTCAGACAGGCCTTTTTTACCCAACAAAGGCTTATTTTTTTCCATCCTTTGCTTGGGCTCAAGCACTCCTGCCCTGCGTGCCTCCACTTTAAACATGATCAGATCTGTGCTTCATTGCAAATAACAACTGACCAACAATGGGCCCTGCTTCATAGATTTGGGAATGTTTGGCTTAAGCTGCCAATGACTGAAGGCCTTTAATTCCCACCGGCCAGTCACAGTCTGCTTTGTTGTTGTCTGTTGATGTGTCTGTGCTCATTATTCCTTGACATGCAACATCCCCCCTCCACCCTCCAACCATCCACAACCGCACAGAAAGCAAGATTCAAATGGGAACAGCTGTAGTGGTTCAATGGGAAATGATGCCTCTTGTGCAAAGGGGAGGGAGACAGAAAAGGGAGAGGGCCTATTTGAAAAAGGCAACAGCTTTCAGAAAGTCTCCTTTAAGAAATCTACTTTTGAATATACTTCAGTGAAATCATTGTTGAAACAGGCTGACAATGGAAATCTGCCCAGATTGAAAATGCCAGTCCTAATTCAAAAAACAATTCCTAGCTAATAGCCTGTTGCATTTTTATATTATTTCTAGACTTTGAGCTTTTGAATTAAATGGCTAACTGGGAAATGTTACCATTTCGTATATATGTTGTGGGTATAAATGGGCACAGATCTACACCCAGCTATAAGTGGGATTTTTTCTAACACATTTTTGATTTATGATATCTATAAGAATTATTTTTTAAAAATCATCAGGATGTAAAACAGAGTGTGTATGAAAGTAACCATTGGTTTAGAATGTTGATCTAACATGGAAATAAAATTTGTAACACCACACTATAAGGTTAAAAAGAAAATTGTATAATAAAGGAAATACAAAGGCTTTGGCATGGTTTTTTACAATCAACAATGGTTAATTTTGATATGTAGTTGTGAACAACTTCAAAACACTTAAGTTTAAAACTCTTGCAAGCACTTTTAATTGATTAGGAATGAATTCTAGATGCACAAAATGATTGGACCGTGAACAGTAATACAACTATATCTAAGAACAATTAACTTTTGCTGGCCAAAAAAGAAACGTATGATTGCATGAAAATGTGTATAAAACATCTATAGAGTATTCTTGTCAAATATAAATGAAATTAACTTTATTATAGAAATCATTCTGAGGATTTCTAGGGAAGACAAATACTTACATTTTGACATAAAACAAATTGGATTATATCGAAGACACACTCTACCTTTTAGCTATCAACTTTTTTTCTTCCTTGAATTTATATCTTACCCTTTTTTGCACATAAACTTCATCTGTTAACAACCTTTGGAAAACCAACAGATATTTCTGACATAAATCTAGTGCATGTTGTTCCAGGTTTAATTATATGCAAAGGAATGATACAAACTTGGAACATCAGTCCATAAACTATGAACAGATGGGTAGAAGTATTCGATATATCTTGATAAAACTCTTAAATTCATGGCAAAGCTTGTTGATCATGGTTTTCTTTTTTTAAAAAAAACAACTTCATGACCAACACAGATCAAACATCCATCCAGTCTACATTGTTCTTTTTTTTCATTATAACATACAAATGCCCATTTACAAATAATACACCAAAATGAATAAAAGTTTGGATACCAAAATGAAGATTTGTTCCAACTGATATCGTGCCTTCTGTATACAAAGGTCCTTGTTTCAAGTCCATTCCTTCCCCAATGGTACAATACAGGACACAGTTGTAGAACTGAAGCGCCTCTAACAGCCATTTTTCTTTCTTTTCTGAAAGCTCAATTGTTGTGTCCCCATAGTCACTGACTGAATTAACACAATATTTCCTTTCCTTTTTTTTTTTTTTTTTTTTACTGTAATCTTGGCCAGTATTGAGACATATCAGGTTCACTTCCGGGAACTTGAACTGGAACTGACACACCAGGGGAAATGAGTCCTAGAAGTGGATGAAAGAAATAGCCATGTAGATATTCCCTTTGAGAAACAGACATGGAATACAAATTTATGGGTTTACAAAAAAAACTAATACTTTCTAACATTTTTTACTGTATTAAAAAATACTTGATTGTTACAAATAAAAGTAGCACCTTCAGAAACTAGACATGTTTATATACACCTGTTGGATCCCAAGTACCTGCCCGCCAATCCAAAAGAAAAGAAAAAATCCTCCGTTTGTTTGCATGGTTGGAACTTTTACAATAAAGCTATCTCTGGAAAACTAATGTGTCACTTTTTATTTGCAGCGAAAGGTCTAGGGGAGATACGAGGGCAAGAAGCATTTCAACAAGCATGCACCTACAGCTCAGTGGGCCCCCTACTGAGCATGGTCTAATAATCTGTCCTCAGAAAACTTGCAGTCTCAGGCCTTGTCTTCATACACAACTTTGGTGACCAAATTCAGGAAAAACAATTTCAGTTTTTGTATATGGTGTAAAGTTACTAATTAGCTTAACTGAATTTCCTTTTTCAATCCCCATCCCCCAGGGAAAAGGACAGCAAAGAGTTAAACACAACCTCCCACAGGACCAGGAGATTCTGTCTGGGTAGACTGCTAGTGAAGAGAGATCACCTGGTAAAAGAAACTGTACAGGCCACCTCTGTACAGCCCGCAGAAAGCAGTGGCTCACCTGTTGAAGTGGTGCCCGAGGTGCCCATTGGCTGACTGTTCATGTGTGTCTGCATATGTGGGGGGGTGTAGGTATCATAACTCCGCCCATTCACCGAAGGGCTGGTGGGCAGCATGCAGGAGTATGAGGAGGTCTGGCTGGGGACTGGGGGCTGTGAGGAGAGAGGCAAACCTGTGGTTACTGAGGAACACATCACACAGCCACAGCCCCAGGCTCCCTCCTCCCGAGGAACTATGGCAACAAGTCTGATCATTAAAGATGCCTTCACATGAAGTACTGGAATTCCATATGATAAATCTAAGATTGGGCCTCGAGCTAGTCCTTCCACTGGCCACAGCTAGAAGAAAGTTGCCTATGTATCAAGCTTCTAAAGCACAGTAGGTTCTGACAACTGTCCAGCTCCATGGTTGCCACTATCCATAAATTAATGGGATTTTTGTCTCTAACCTCTGCTGGCATCTTTGAAGAACCTATAGCATGAGGACCTTCATCAAAACACATCCCCCCTCTCCCTGTAAATCTGGATTTATTTGGGAATGCTGTGACCCCCAAAGCCCACATCTCAAGCTTTGGGACAGAGAGCAGTGGGGGGAGCTCTTAGTAAAGTATGGTTCAGGGACCTTGGGAACCTTTCACAGCCAGACTCATGGGATTAAAGATTATTTGAAGAAGCAGATCTGTAATGACCCCAAGTTAAAGTGATCAGAAGTGTTAGAAAATATATCCCACCCCCATCCTGAGAATTAACCACCATTTCCTAATAGACCCAAACCCCAGATCGAGTTAGTAAATGTAACCCACCTCCATCCTGAGAATTAACCATGACTTCCTAACAGACCCAAAAGCCCAGACTGACTTATAACCAGAAAATTGTTGCTGCCCTCGAACTGTTCAGAATGGCAGCATTGAGGAGGTGAACCTTTCTCCTAACAAAACGCCTCACGAGCTCTCATGGTACTACACCATGGCAGCAAACTTGGGATGAATTAAAAGAAGTGTGTCGGGAACAAGCAAGTCAGATGATAGTACAGTATACTATCATTTTTCTTCTCTGCAAACTGGAGAAATGTTTAATTTCCAAGATCCATATTCTCAGAGAGGGAAGCATATCAGAGAAGGTCCAGAGGAAGACATCCACCATTTGTAAAATGATGATTTTGGTCAAGAGAATGAATAAATGGCTAGACAAACCGGCTCACCCACTCCAAAATTCAAAGAGTAGTTTTCTCTGAAGAGTAAAGTTATTGATCATTTTGATTTTCTTTATGCTTAATGAATGCATGTACTTTTTGAATTATATAAATTATGTAATTTTTAAAAGTCAGTGTTTGAAATAGATTGATTCCCCACACCGGTCTGTATGTGGAAACAGCCCTAATATAATGGCAGCATCTACTTGTACATCTTATTATTTTCTCATACACATTTTGCTATCTTCACAGAAACCTGGATGTTGTTATAATATATGAAACTGAACAAGACACTCTGTGGCCTTATTAAAGTCAGATGATGACTACTAACATCAAGTTCAAAGAGGCAAACAGGCCTTGAGGGCCCTGCCAGAATTTCAGCTTGCATTTGTTTCTAATTCCTGCAATGACTTCCTCTAGGCAACCTGACTTCTGGAAAATTCCAATGTGGTTATAGCAACACCAACTAATGGGCTGTTAATCCCTTAATTTACATCAATTGCACTATGGCCAATAATATCCAGATGCAATAAAAATAAACATGTGAATAATTCTTCTGAAGTTGCTTATCTAGCTGCTCCTATATTAGTCTGAAGACTGTGAAACATTTATTTTGCTGTTATTTGGATCTGAAATCCAGCAAAAAATGTTCAGTGGAGAATAAACAACCAACGTAGCCACAGAACTGTTTCCAGCAGAGGCTCACGCTGGCCAGTATCATACCATGTAATATCTCTAATTGTTGCACAAACAGGAGTTCTAGGAAAACCACTGGGAAAGGCCTACCAGAAGACATTTTTCCTATCAGGAATCCATCCAGCAACAAAGGTTTAGTACAAACCATCTGCCTTATCCAACTTACATCATAAAGGGTGAACCTAGTGCAGGGCCTCTAAATCAGGGGCTAATAGATATTTGGGACAGAACTAAGAGGAGAGGCAGGCTGTCATACCAAGTGAATAGCATCAAGCTTCCCAGGCAGCTAGGAGGGCCACAAACTCATCACACCATTCACGGCAAAGACACACTAAATTTCCAGCAAATACCTGCTATGCCTTTTCTTATTGTAGATATAGACAGAAAACTAGAATTCTCATTATGTTATGTATATCTCACCATGTAAATATGAATCCCATTTCCGAACCCTTTTTTTCTTTCTCACTGGTTTATCACATATACCCTAAGTAATGCCCCAAATGCATGCATAGATTATATATTTAGCATACAAACACAATAATATAAACCCAAATTTTAAACTACTAATCTCCCGCTATCTGATAATGTGCCAGCATTATTTCCATTTTCTGGTACAAGGCTCCCTAGCACCCGAAATATGCCCCACCACCACCCAACATTATCAAGGTAACAGTATAATAAAAGGCAGATCAACTTGACAAAACTGGACAGATTTTTATTACTAATTTTTTTAGGGCATGAATTAATGAGTCAATCACTTAAAAGAGATTGGATTGACTGTCTCATTGGTACCCAAAACATGCTCCACTACCACCCAATATTATCAAGCTAGACAATATGATAAAAGGCAGGTTAACCTGACAAAACTGGCCAGATTTTTTTGTGGGGGCGGTGGGGCATGAATCAATGAGCCAATCACTTAAAAGAGATGGGATTGACTGTCTCTGACTTGACTGATCAAACCAATCACTGTAGTTCGAAAAGCTCCCAAGGGTGCAGACACAGCCAACGAGGTCCACAGGCCCTGAGCCACTCCTCACTTCTCTGGGGCCTGGATTATGCAGGCCACCACCAGCCGCACTTACTTGCATAGGCAGGTTATTTGCCATGGTGAAGCTGGGCATAGGCGGCAGAGCGCTGTAGGTGTTTGTGAGGGCTGTGTCTGTTCGGCCCAACATGGAGCCAGATGTGAAGGAGGAAACTGAGGGCAAGAGAAATGACAGTAGTCAGGGTGAGAGTCAGAGCCCCGAGCAAACAGGTTTAAAGACATAGATTCATAGTATTAGTATTTCAAATTACCAGGTGTGGTGGGTTGTGGAATTGGTTGGTAGACACTGGTGCTGAAACTACTGCTGATAGGAATATGACTAGGTGTGTTGCTGGCCTGTCTTCTCTGATTCCTCAGTTTTTCTTCTCTTCTCCATTTGGCCCTTCGATTAGAAAACCATACCTGGAAATCAGATGGGACAGGTTAGCACTGTGTCTACATGGAGCCCAGCCCCACCTCGGCACCTCCACTGCTGCCCTCCCCATGCCCATGGCAGCAGAGCATTTCGCAGACTGAACCTGTTATTAGTCCTATAAATGATTAGTGCTCTGTACAAGCACCTCTGTCTCTAGGGAAAACAAATGGTATGAATCGCAAAGTGTGAAACTGCACAGTTCCTGGGTACCTGTATTCTTGCTTCAGGTAGATCTATTTTGGCTGCTAGTCTTTCGCGGGCAAACACATCTGGATAATGGGTTCTCTCAAACTCTGAAAGAGTAAGTTGATTTTCCATATTGTGCCAGAACTACACAAAATATGTTAACCAAACTGTGGATCAAGCTGATTCCCACCTCCCCGCTCCCATTACCTCCAACCAATTCCCTTTAAAATGCTTCTAGTGTTGACTGTACTTGGAAGAACTTTCCCACCAGAACTAAGTTAAATTTTCTTTGGAATGACATTCAATGACCTTTCTGTGGCCCGAAATAGCCAAATCATCGTTTTTCCTTGTAAGCCAGACATTTAGTCTTTGAATTACTGGTAGATGAAAAGAAGAAACAGACACACACACACACACACACTGAAAAGATGCCCAGAGAAATAAAAAGAAAAAAGAAACCTTTTCAGTCCTCTATGCAAAGGGCCCTGGCTAAATTTAGCTCTTTGTACTGAAGATGTGGCATTTACTTTGATTTACTGCTTCTCTACTTTGAAAAACTCTATCACCTTTCTCCAGGGCCTCAATTTGCTCTTGGGTAAAGGATGTTCTATTTCTTTGCAGCTTCCGCTTCAGCTGAAGTCGCATTTGAGCCTCATCTGAATCTTCTCCGTTGGAACTGATGGAGTTGGTATTCTCTCCCCCTCCTTCCTGTTGCTGGCAGCCATCTGGAACAAAAAGAATAGGACGGTAAGAGAAATTTGGAATAACTCGGAGCCTCCAAAAGGGGCTTGGTGCAGTCTTAAACTCCAAGAGCATTGTATCCTGACAGCCTCACCAAGACATTCCCAAGGTAACTGTCAGCCTTCTGTTAACAAAAGACATTTGTGATGTTAGTTACCTGACCGCCATTTTCTTTGTTTTTATCAAGACAAGACTTTATAATACACACACTAAGTGGCATTTCTTGAATGAAAAAATAAGCACTGAAGTTTACAATTAAAATGATCTTTTATAAGTAACCCCAACTCCCCAAATGCCTCACTCCATTCCCTACAGAATCTCTTTACCTATGGCTGTGTTGGGAAAATAGAAGAGTGATGTTCAAGATTTCAGTTGATCTATAATCAGTAATTCCTATCTAATCAATTAGATGTTGATAGGTTTGTAGAAAATGCTATTAAGAAACCAAACCAAGCTTGTAATCTTTTTAAAAAAATATTTATCTAGTTTTTATTTGAATTCTGCACAGTCAATTTCATTTTAAAGGTTGTGAATTTAGAAGTGCTCGCATTGTTCTGCAGTTTTATTCAACTATTGTATGAGTGCGCTTCGCCTTGACACCTATTACGAGCACAGCTGTAATTATATCATCACCAAGAACAGGCTATAATTGCTGAAAATGGAATTTTATATTTAGATAAAAGGACTGTCCATTCTTTGTAATGTGTTGCACCAGAGAAAAGTAAGATTTCTTTTAAATTTTTAACGTGTAATTTTTAAAAAGAAATAGTAGAGAGTTCACTAACTAGCTAAATATTCTATGCTGCAGCTGAATTTTTGGCATATCATTTAAGTGGTACATTTTTAATTAGGGCATTTCCACCACTTTTAATGTAATTTCTATCTTTATACAGGGGGAAAGTTTTATTGTTTTCCCTTGCTGCCTGGAGGGCAAGATGTGCACTTGGGCTAGCTGGCTCTCCTGCCTTGCACCTTGCCTGTAAGCCACAGTCTGTGTGAAGGGAAGCAGGATTGCCTAAACCCTGACTGGGCCTCCAGGGCCACTACAGGCTGGGTCCCGGGTCTGGGGTCCTGAAATGACCCCCAAAGGATACCAACATGGGCTACCCACCTCCCTATCCTCAAAACTTGGCCAGAGGTGGGGTGGAGGAGCCCTTAGGAGCGCCTTGGTGGGAATCGACTTGGCCAGGAATATTATTTATAACCAGGAGACAATAGGCTGTGCCTTCAAAGAGTTCAGGGAATTGTGACAGGATCTAGTGGGATCTTTTCAGGAACTCTGAAATGTTTTAAAACCCCAACTTTCTCCCCCATTTAAACAGGCGGATTCATCGGCACTGGCCACCATATGGGCCCTTGGAGATCTATTGAGATGACCACCAACACTTGAATAGCGAGGGGCTGCTTTTCAGCGCTGCACAATGCCCCGCGAGTAAGGGAAACTATTAAACTCCTGGGGCAGGAGCGTTGGCAAACTTTCGTGGGCAGAATTTTGAGGCTACAATGAGCGCGGACAACAAAAGGATTCTCTTGAGGCGTGCAGCGGGCCACATTGTGTTACAAGAAGCCCAGTCAACAGACTTTTCAGTGAAGTGTGTTAACCCCTCTGCTCTGCTATCATTAATCACTGTCCGAAGAGCGGGCGCCTCCGTGCTATTTAGGGCGCTTGGCTGGGGGGGATGGAGGGTGGATGGGGGGCCAAGGCCCAGCATGGGGGGAGGCAGGGAGAGTGCACGGGGACTACGGCCAGGTTCCTACGTAGGGGAGATGGAGGGGAGGCAGGATGGAAACCAGCGGTGGGGGTGGAAGCAAGGGGGAAGGATTGGGGGGCCTGGATTGGGGGAAGGGCGGAGGGCGATGGAGGGAAAAAGAGGGCTCAAAAAACACAGAGGCCATAAAGGTATAAGAAAAAAAGGACAGAAAAGAATGCTAAGAGGAAAAAGAGACAAGAGGGCCGAACAAGTGTGGGAGAGAGAGGAAAAGGAAGATGAGGGACAGAGAATATTAGTAACTGAGCCTCAGTTGGACTCTGGGTCTTTGCACTCCATCAGAAAGGTGGGGGTGGAGGAGGGCTACTTAGCTGAGGGAGAAGCCCTCCTCTCACGTGTGCGGGCACAAGCGTCTGTGCTAATTTACCGCCCCAAGTTTCCGGGACTTTTCAAAGCGTTTTTCAAGGGAAGAAATGAAGCGACCACCCCCACCTCTCGCTTTATTTTCGGGTTTGGTCAAGAAGACTGGAAATAGCTCCTTTTGGACAACTAGAAAGGCCAGAGGTTTATTGTTTTTGGAAACTAGACAAAAATCTGTGCACATCTGGTATGGGGTGGGGGGCACTGAGGAGAACACAATGCCCATCTCCCCATGGTCACTCATGCCCCTTCCTTCCTGGGGGCCCCATCTCAGTCCCTTTTCTGGCACATGCCATCTCGCCAATTAAACAAAGTTGCCCGAATCTGCCTCCAAAGACCCCCGCCGATAGCATGCTCTGCTGTCATTTGCCTCTTTGACGTTTTCTAAATTTTAAAACATGGAGATTCACATTCTTATCCGTGTTTTGTCTCACACAAACATACACACGGGTTACACAGGCACGCACGCGATAGCCGCCAGGCCCTGTGCTGCCTCCAGAACTGACACTTAAGGGAGAAAAGTCAGCAGGAACAGTAGAGTTCAATTTTAAATCTGGAAGAAGAAGAAGAAGAAAAAAAAGATGGGAAGTGGGCACTGGAATTACATGACAGCAAAAAGAAACCCGTCGCTGTAGGATCCCTTCTCTACCCCACGGGGAGAGCGGCACGGGGACAGTTCTTTACTTTAGAAGTGGCAACTGTTTGCAGCCAAGCAGTGACCTAGCGGCTGCTCTTACTTAAAATGGGTGCTTTCCCCCCACTTTAGTGGATTTGCCTTCCACTCTTAAAGCTTTTAACAAAATAAAACTAGAACTTGGATCTCGAATTCCCGCCCCCCCCCACCCCCACGATAAACCTAAGTGGTGGACAATTAAGATATCTTTTTTAAAAGGCGCCCCCTCGGAGCCACGCTCAAAGCAGGGGCCTTCAATGGGTGCCGTTCACCTTCCAGCCTAATTCGTGAGAAGGCGAGTGAAAGCGCCTCCCATTATCCCAGCCCCAGGACCATCTGACGATGGGGATAGGATTTGTTTCCTGGAAGGAGGAGAGAGAGAAAGAGAGAGAGAGAGGGGGGGGGGGAGAGAGAGAGAGAGAGAGAGAGAGAGAGAGAGAGAGAGAGAGAAAGACACAGAGAGAGAGACAGAGACAGAGAGACAGACAGACAGAGAGAGACAGAGAGAGACGGAGAGAGAGAGAGCGCGCGCGCCACGCTGGGAAATAAAATCATTCCTTAGTTTCTTAGCGTCTTAATCAGTGAGGCGGAAAACAAGCAAGAAAAGATAGCAACCCGGTTGCGGCACCTTTTCAGCTCTGGAGCGCGGATCAAAACATTGTAGCATCTGTTGAAAGAGAGGCTGGCTAAATCCTACAGAGGGCCTGGGTATTATGGGGGGTGGGGGTGGGGTGAGGGGAGGAGATAAGAAAAAGTGTCTCCGTGATCCCTAAAACCACCAAATCGCTGGAGAATTGGGGCTGGATAGAGTTGTCTCTTGTTGTTGTCAGGCTACGTCGTCGCGATTTTATTCACTGCCTCATGGCGTTGATCAGATGGAAACCATATTTGTCTCCCTCTGAGACCTAACCTCCGCCTTATGCTTTCGGAGTAATGGACTCTTTAAAACCCAAGAAAGGCTTCCCGGGCCTGGGAAAGGGGGCTAGGGAGGGAGGGCGATCCTCTTAGCGCCAAAAAGCCTGAAGATTCCCCGGGAACGTGAAGCGAGGCTCGCCACCAGTGCCCGCTACCCCCACACCGGCAACTCTGTGCTTCGTTTGGCCCACGTGTCCTCCCCACGCAAGTAGGGGCGACGATCCTGTGCCTGAGGTGACAATCACCCCCCAAAAACCTCACTTGAGGGTGAGAAGGTGGTGATTGTCAGTTGATCCAGAATTTTCTAGCAAATGAAAAGCCCCTGGACTAGCGCCACCTCCGACCCCAACTATCACCCGCGGACCCCAGCCTGTTAGACTAGCTTCCCGCCCTCAGGTTGCCGGGGACGAAAATCCGCCCGAATTGGGCGCCACCTCTGGTGGAAGCTGCTGTCCTCAGCTTCTGTCCCAACTCCAAGAAGTGGGAGGCGGGTGTCTCCGGCGCCCCAAGCTCGTGGGAGCCCACGCGCCGAGGAGAGCCGGCAGTGGAGGCTCTGGGCTCAGCCCTCCCAGGCCTAGGCCACCGTGCCCTGCGTCCCTCCCCAAGATTTCTGGGACTAAGTGGGCCAGACTCTTGGCAGGTGAGGGATCACCAGGATCTCAGATTGCTGGGGGCGGAGGGGTGGACGCTCGTGAGTGCGAAGTTCGGGTGTCACTTGGGTGTGTCCAGTGTCTACACGTGGGAATCCTACGGTTTCAAAGGTCAGGCAGGGGTGGGGTTGCCTACACTCGGTGGGGTCAATCGCTAGTCTCACCAGAGGCGGGAGCGGGCCTGGGGCCCTCTGCGCTCGCGGAGGCGACAGGTTTAGGGCCCGCGCGGGCGGGGTCGCCCAGGGGAGCCCGGGCCCCGCGCGTCAGGAGGCCTCCGCCGGCCGAGCGGCCGCGCTGGGAAACAAGAAGCGAGCGCTTTGCTCCCTATCTTCCCAGTGTCCGTCCTATATTGTTTTCTGCTCTTAAAACTGACATGTCTAATTGGCAATTGGTGCCGAATCGTGTCCAGAGGTCTCTTGTGGAACATTTCTACAGCTGTCTCCTTCAACTAGACGCTTATTCATGTCGCCTTAATGAGAAACAAAACGTTCTCTAATGAGCAATTACAGAGCGACAGGATTGTTCCCATAACAAATTCTTGCGAGTGACAGAAGCATCCTTTGTACCAGATATTTCGCATACTGTTACCGATTTTCCCTTCCCTCGCCCGACTCCATGGAGGCGCCGGGCATCCGGAGCCGGTTCGAGAGCGCACGGACGCGCCGGCAGCCTCCTCGCAGTCCCGCGCGCCACCCCCGGCCCCGAGCCCCCAGGCTCCGTTGTGCTCCCGGGAGTGAGACGCCACGTCCCATTATCCCGCATATTATCTCCTTGTCACGAGGACAACAAATACCGATTAATCTTAGGAGTAAACTGTTTCCTATTCTTGACCAAACTACCTCGGGGTGTGGAGGGGGGCGGAGGGGAAGCCAACTGACCCTCCTCCCCCATCCGCTCCTCTTCCTCCAGCCCTTCTCACAGAACCTAGGGTGTTCCAGGTCCCGTCTCTCCTCCCAGACCGGAGCAGCTCCCGGCACCCCGCCGTCCTGTTCACAGTATCTTCACCTCACCACTTCCACATAGTCGCCACCCACAGAGAGTGAGAAAGGGAGGCCCAGAGGGGCAAGGATAGTGGGGTGGTTTTAGTTGGGAGACCACCACTTCTAACGCTCCTACCCCTATTCGGCCCTGCATCTCCTTGCTCACCCTTTCATGTGCACCCTACTCATAGTCACATAATTTGTCAATTACAGCAAAAAGCAACACGATACAATTATGTTTACCTCGCAGTCTGTCAGTGTGTTAACTTGTCACACTTCTACAAGGGGGCTCTCCCTGCATTCTAATGTCAGATTTGAATAGTGCACCACGCAGCTCGCTCTTATGCACACAGTGCTGCCGACAAACACACACACACCCCAGCCACCTTCACACCACTCCTGACATACACAACCCTCACATTCCCAGGCCAACAAGATGGTTCAACAAACACCACCTACATACAATATGCTCGATGTGTCCCAGGCCTTCAAATGCAGTCTCACCCATGACATTCCCCAAGCATGGAAGCCCCGGGAGGAAAAGGTTGGGAGAGTAGGGGACAGGCAACGGGCTGCACATATGGAGAGCTGCGTGGATGGCTGCTGGAGTTTTACCTTGTGTAGGTTGCCCTGGCACCGAAGTCCCCGGATACCAACCAGGGCGGGTGCCCCAGCTTCCGGTCTGCCCGTTCAACATCCTTAGTTTATCATACATGCCGTCTGCGCCCATCTGTTGCTTTTCGCTAGCCAGGTTGCGAAGAACTCTGTTTATTGATGACACCTGCAAATCAAACCAAAATCAAACCAAATGGTAGTGTCTCCTGAAGACACAGTCACCCATCTCAGCTCACCCACCACTTTAAAAAGCAACTCTCAACCCATTAAAAAGCTCCCAGCCACCCCGGGACAGTGGATTTGCAGATACATCGTGGAAAAAATGATAGCTATCATATTGGGCATGGAAATTGAGTTGAATAGAGAATTGAGGGGAGGAGGTCCTTCACCATTGGTTGGTGTCTCTGGTGACCTAACTCACACGGTCGCTTTGCTTTGTTAAAAGACTGCCCGAAAATAAAATATATTTAGACTTGGTGTAAAGCTTTCTTTCATTATATTGTTTAATATTAGGATGGAAATGGATGTGTGACACCTGAAGGAAAGTTCTGGCAGGTGGATTGGGACGAAGTTACAATCTGGTTCTCATTTTCCTTCTTGATTTAAGTGCCTTTCCCTGGTGCCTCCGCCCTCCGTTTTGCAGCATGCAAATGAAGTGAACGACTCCCCACACTTGACTCCCATTTTCCAGACAGTCAAAGAAAGGTCAGGGCATTCCTCTCTGTTTCCCCAGGTACAAAGGAGACAAATGTGGAGCAGGGAGAGGACACAGACTAAGAGACAGTGGAGAGAGAGGGTGGGAGGAGGTAAAGAGGAGAGAACCTTGGGCTTAGGGTAGGGAGGGCAGATGTTCTCAATGAACTTACACTTGGTATGTTATCGTTGGTACAGACCCCCTCGGACAGTAATCTGTCTCGGATTTCCCAAGCAAAGATGGACGGGCACTCCCGCTTATACTGGGCTATTTTGCTTACAACTTCTGGAGTCGCTACTCTCGGTTTACTACCACCGATTGCCCTGGGTCTGATGGAGCCAGTCTCGTAATACCTGCCCAGAATTTTACTCACACATCCATTGGACACCTGCATAGGGGAAGTGGACAGAAAACCACATTATTAATAATTTCAAGACAAAAATAAAATTGTTTAAGTATGCATTAAACAATGACAAGCTTACGTTTTGATTGTCCAGCACTTGGACTTTTGCATCTGCATGGGTCTATAACACAAAAATATACCTTCAATGGTATGAGAACTTACTGTAGAGAGCTTTTTTCTTAAAATTACATTTGTAGCCCTAAAAACTACAAATATGATGATACTTTCAAACAGTTTGAACTAAAAAAAGAATTTAAAAGCTGTTTTTTAAAAAAAACTGTTTTCTTAAACACTGCCTGAAGATGCATCAAAACGAAGTCAGATTAATTTATTTTTGTGCTGACCTTGCTTAAAGTGGTGCCAGGTTTTAAAGAACAAAGGTAAAAAAAAAAACTGATTTTTTACTTCTTTTTCTTTAAAAAATGCCCAACTGAGTAAATATGAGTTAGGGAGGAGTAAATAGCACTTGCCTTTTAAAATCAATACGTATTCTTCATAAATATGAAGAATAAGCAAATACCTCAAAATCTGAGGTAAGCATGGGCTGGGGAGAGCAGAATGAAATTATGCCGATTTATATAACTAAGTTTATTACAGTTCATAAACTGTTCCCACAATGAATGTCTTTACCAAATAAAAAGAGAAAGATTTTTTTAAAAAATCCACACACTATATTTTTCTGAAGCAGATGAGTTATCTGTTTCAACCCAGGTTGAAAGAGATAGGGAAGGATGGTGGAAGGAGAGGGAAAAGTGGGAAGGCAGGGGAGTGGGTGGGGGACGGGGGACTGGGGACTGGGGTGGGTGAGGGTGGGGGGTCCATAATTAGCATCGTTTACAGTAAGAAATGAAGAGAGGGCGTTGAGAGTGGAGGGCCACGGGGGCGGCGAGTGGGGCGGCGCCGGGAGGATCACCTGCAGAATTCGGGAAATGTCGCACGGCCGTGCCCCGCTGTGAGCTAGCTCTACAATCTTCTGCCGGGTGGAGTCCGGCAGTGGCCGCCCGTTGACAAAAACACCACCGAGCTGATTCACTCCGCTGTGACCTGAGGAAAGGGAGAGGAGAGCAAAGGGGAAAAGAAGAGAGGAGAGCAGAATGAAGAGGAAGAAGAGGGAGAGGAAGGAATAGGAATATGAGGGAGAACAAGAACAGGAAGAAGAGGAAAGAGAAAAAGAAGGGGAAGAGGAAGAAAGAGAGGAGGAGGAGGAGGAGACAACCACAATGCATCCTCATCCCCCTGCCAACCTGTGCCAACCTCAGTGATCAGGTTCCTGCTATCGATCAAAAAAAAAAGGACAACAGGACAACCAACCATGCCAGACATTGGGCAGCCCAGACCCAAACAGCCGTGCCCTTGCCCACTGGACTGCAGCAGCAACAGAGTCAGACACATGCCAAGGAACAAGAACACATGGACCTCTCTACCACCATAACCCCAGCAGTGTCCCCAGCCCACTGCCCCTCTTCATAAACACTGCAGCCAGCCTCTGAACCCACAAAGCGCTAAGAACCAGCTCTACAAATCTCCCAAAGATCCCCTCTGAGTGTCACCGCAAACCATAGGTTCTACAGATCCCACACTTAACCTTCAAGGTCTCTGCAGTGTTGGAACAGTGATAGCAAACCTTACAGCCCTTGAGTGCTCCCTTGGAAGCTAAAATCCAGAAATGTTTGCATTACAGTCCAAATTGGCCAAGGCCTGGCACTAGCACCGAGTTTGGTTTTGTTTGGTTAGAACAGAAGAAGGAAGAGGAGAGAAGAACCAGAGCAGCCAGTCTGTGGCTGGCGAACGCCAGTCCAGGTTTCCGCTCCTCCAGTGTAGACATGAGAGTCAGAGCCCGGCTCTGCTTCAGCCACAGACAAGTCCGGCCACCGCAAGTACAGCTTAGAGCCGGGAGTCGTTTCGCACCGGCCACTGCTCGCTTTATTTCCGCCGCTGAACTCCGCCCTCCCCTCAGCCAAGGATAGATATTAGCAAAAATCAAAAACAGAAACGAAAAAGAAAAGACCACGTCATAGTGTTCCCCATCCCTCCTTTATCTTTGTATCTCACAACCTCATCCCTGTGGTCCAACCTTGGAGAACAGGGAGAGGGAGTTAGCCCCTTTGTAGCCCCCCTCCCCCAAAACCACAGACACACAAAATAAAGCCAATTGCCAATTTCCACTTCCTTAAAAATCTCCAACCTGCAGCCCCGACTCTAGAGAGCAGCCCTCCTAGGAAAAGACGTGGCTCCCTTTTCAGCTCTCCTCTCCTCTCTTCTCCTTGGAGCCTACTGATAAATTGACTCCAGGAGCCTGAGCTTCTTAGCAATAAATAAGCTCCAAATATAGAAGAGGGGGGAAAATATGATGAGCCTCTCTGACATTTGTCTTTAAAATAAAACTAGCTGCACGTCAAGTTTGAGCTTAATTTCTGGAAATAGGCGGAAGTCGCTCCGGATCATGCATGGAAGGCTAATTGAAAAGATCAGTCGGGGCGCTTGTGGCAGCCTTGTCACTTTGTGACAGTGCTCCGCTCCGGGAAATTGCATCGTCACGACAAACGGGACCGTGATAAAACGACCCTTTCCGTCCCTATTTGTAGATCACTCAGACGAGATTGAACTGCACTCGTTTCCCCTTCGAGGGGAGCCGCGTTTTCAGGGTAGCCGAAGGCTTGGGGCTGGGGGGGGGGCCCCCCCCGGGGGGGGGGGGGGGTGGGGCCGGAGCCTCAACTCGATGAGAAGTGACAGGCGTTTGGGGGATCTGGGCTCCGGCCGGGCCCAGCGCAAGCAGGGACATTGCGGGGACACCGCTTCTCCAACAGAGCAAGGCCTGGCCCACGTTTCCGGTTTATCCTAACTTCCTTTTATTGCCTTCCTTTGCCTCGCAAGTTCCATCCACCGCTCCAGCTACGGAGTCCCACCTCTAGGCACAGGGAGCTTCCCGGAAAAAGAAAGGCTGTCCCAGAAAGAGACCGAGAAAGACTTTCCAAACTTCACGCATAGCCACGGCAATTCCCAGTCTGCGAATGCCAAGGCGGGCGCGTGAGGCAGCCTACATCTAGACCTTCCTCCTCACCCATTTCAAAAAATAACAACGTGCCTGCCACCTCCGCAGCTACCGCCGCTGGGTGCTCGCCCAGGAGACGCCAGGGCCAGAGCGCCACTCCCAGCATCGAAATGGCAGCGAGGAAGCGCAGCTCCAAATTCCCCTTCAGAGGTTAAGCCTCAATCATTGTGTCCCTTCCCTAGGGACGGCTGGCGCTCTCGCCCACTGGCGATGATTATGCGCCTAGAACTCGACCGCGAAGCAACTAATAGGAAAACATATGGTGTCAATTTGGACGCTCCGCGCCTCGCGCACACCCGGGAACAAGCGGCACAAGCCCTGCGGGCCGGCCCGCGACCCCGCGCCCCTCGGGGCCTGCCAGCCGGGCTGCAGCGGCAAACGCTCAGGGCTGCAAGCCCTGGCTGGGGCCCGCCCGAGAGAGAGCCTGCGGTTGGAGAGTCTGAGCTCCAAGGGGAGAGCCCAGCCGCCGAAAGGGAGCCTACCGGCCAAGCCCTGGGGTGCGGCAGGTTCTGCACAACTACCCCCGCAAAGCTCGCCACGTTTGTGCCCCTTCATCAGCTACGCGCTTACCAGCCCCGGAAGCACCAGGGGGCGACCGGCGTTTCCAGAACAGATGGATAAGGTGCTGGGGACCCTCTTAAGCCTTTGTGGTTCGGCCAGGGAAGACTGCTAGAAGACCTGGGCCTTTCCACACTCCGAGTTCAGTTGAGCCCTGACGCCTCAACCGTAATCTCAAACCCGGCCTGGTTTCGCTGGGCCTCCAGGCTCCCAGGTCGGAGCTCTAGACTAGCCCTGCCACGTACCAGCACCCACCAACTAAACAGGAAGGTGGGTGGGGGCCCAGGGGGTCTGGGCAGAGGAAAGCAGGGAAGTAGAAGAGCCATAAGTATCAAAGGTGCTCTGGGCCTGGGACTAACAGGACCCAAGCAATTGCAGTTGCCAGGGCAGGGCTTTTCCAGTTCCTGGGCACCTCCTTCCCAGACCCAGTAAACCGCGCTCTCTCCCGCGCCCTGTAACAGCGAGTTTACCACCCCTACCCTGCTGCAGGCCTGGGGGCTCCTCTTCCCATCCCTTCTAGGCCCATAGGTGGGGTAAGGAGGGGAGGAGCTGCCCTGAGAGTGACTTGGGGAGAGAAGCCCCCCACCCCGCCGAGTTGGTGGAGACTTTCAGTCTTGGCTAAGCCCAAAGGGGCCTCCTTCTCGCGCAACTAGAAGCCTTCGCCCCGCCCTGCTCAGCCCAGCCCCTCTCTCCGGGGTCAGAGCCCGGGCAGGGGCGGGGAGGGGGTGTGAGTTACAGGATTTGGGGGGGATGGGGTTTCTCTACCGCAGCTTCGAAAACTCGGGCGGGCTGTTCTTAAGGGCCCAGCCCCTGCTTCTTCAGTATCGAGAAGAGCAAAGCAAACGCCCTCCCCTCCTGGGCTGCCGGGCGGAGGGGGGAGTAGCCGCCGCAGGCCCCGGGCCTCAGTCGGTCGGCGGCCGGGCCAGCGCGGGCGTCGCGAGCCTGTGTCCTCCCCTGACCCTCGGGTCCGCGCACCCCGAGCCCAAAGTCCCAGAAAGATCAGAGGCACTTACTGTTCTGCATGCTGGCTCTGGTTGGGGGCCGCGGGATTCCACGGGGCTCGAATACGGGGCTCTGTTAGAAAATAGGAGTTAATCCCTGGGCAGCTGCATCAGGTAGGCCTGAACTCCCAACCGAGGTGGACCTGGGGCTAGGACAAGAGAATCTCCGTTCCTTAGGAATTGATCTACTCAACCGCTTGGGGCAATCTGAGGGTCACCCAGCTCTGCCTTGCAGTGCATGCAAAAGCTACCCTTTGGGACTTGAAACAAAATACTCGAATATCCCCAATCTGTTTCCCCTACATTCTTTAGCAGTTAACCCTTTAATCAGTAGAACCGATGCCCCAATTTTGAATTTTTTCTTCTATCGGATCTATAGTGAAGAAGCATACTGAAATAGTTTGTTTTGACTGTTTGTGGGTTTTGAGCCCAAAGCAGCCACCGCAGAACTTGCCTGAAATCTCGGATGTCTGTCCACTCTCACAATAAAAGGCCTCACACATCTGCGCGCCCCTAGTTAAAGTCTTCCCCCTAAGACAAAACAGAAGGAGAGAAACGTATATCAAGCTGTGGTTCAACAGCATAAGTCCATGGGCTCTCTGAGTCCCACTCTCAGGAAAAACACATGCATCTGGGGCTCAGTCAAACTGCCATCAAACTCTAAGTCCCAGCATTACACCCACATTCTCAGCGGCATCTCCCACAGAAGTCTCCATCCTTTAAAAGAGGCTGCTCTGGTCTGGCTTGGGAGAATTGGCAAATCTGACAAGTTGGGGTCCCACTTTGCAAAAATATTAAGAACCAGGAAAAGGGAGTAGAGGCCAAGAGTTGAGGTTGAGGGGGTGTGAGGGGAGAGGAATACCTGAAGTTTGGAAAGCAGGGGAAGGGAACCTTGGAACTTCCTGGTGCCAGAGAGTATAGGCTGAAGCAGTTTGGGAGAGCTGCAGGGCCATACTCCCTCCTTCCTTAAGGAATTTCACAAGACCCCCAGAACCCAACACTCTGCTTACCCCTTTATCTTCCACTCCTCTCCCTACACCAAAAAATCTTCCCAATGGCCCCCTCTCCATCTACCTCCCAGCTTTCTGGGACTTTGAAACGGGCAAGCCTAACTTTTTATCCCAAACCTCACTTACTGTGATTAACTTCTCTTTTGACGTTTAGATCTTCACCCCTTTTACTGTACTGTGACACACCCTGCCTACCTCGCCTCACTGCTTTGAAAAGTACGAACAGGAGGGGGTGAGCGTGGTCGACAAAGCCTACAGACAGCAAACAATGGCTTCTATTCTCCAGCTTTCCTCGAACCCAAGGAGCAAAACCGAGTCTCCCGAACTAGCAACACAGCTTCCAACCAAACGTACCAACAACCCACCAACTCACAAAGGGAACTGAGGGACACTCCTAGCTTCATAAACCCTGACCCAGTGCAGGGTTCCCGGAGGCTGGTCCTGTACGAACCCCTCCCTGCCTTTCCCACAAAAAAAAAAAAAAAAAAAAAAAAGGCTTTTGGGCGAGTGGAGAAAACAGAAAAGTAATTTCTTGTTATAAATATCTGGAGGTAATTGTGTTACTGGTGTGAGTTGTTAGGGGCTGTAAAAAGATACAACGGCACCGTGGGGAGCTCAATTGGGAAGAGAGAGTTACAATAAAGAGCCCATTCAAGAGGTCTGCCCCCCAAAAAGAGGTAAAATAACAAAATAGTCACAGCATCATTTCTCCGTTTTTTAAAAAATGCATTATTTTTTCTGTTTTACCTATGGTGATTATTGATCTGCCTGCCTGCAAGCAAAGAATTTCAAGAAGCACGTTTTACTCTACAAGGCCATTCCTGGTCTACTTTTTAACCACTTGGTAGATAGCTTAAATCCATAAAAATAAACCGAAAATGAGGACTTTTTCTCAGCATTGGGTAAATACTGGCCACAGCAGACGGCTACTAGTTACCCTTATCTAGGTTGGTTCCCCAATGCTTCCTTCCTGTCTCTCAGTCCCCGCACCCATAGCCATGCCCTGGACAGGCAAAATCTCCAACCCCAATGCAGAATACCCCACTCCACCCAATGCAGGACCCTGAAGCTGCAAAGGAGTAGCAGGTGGGGAGATGGGGAATGGAATTCCCCGAGGAGGGGTAAAACTTCCTGAACTCCACTTTGTAACCCATGCTGTACACAATCACAACAGAATGCCCCCATCCTGGCTGGTAACTTCTTGATACCATTTTTAAAAATTCAGTAGCTGAGCCCAGACAGGCCTTGTTGATTAGTTTTCGAAGCAGCTGGGAAGGTGGTAGTATTTCAAATTCCAGTTCTGCTCCATTCCCCCTTCCCTCTCGCTAAGAAGCTATCTAATTACTTAAGTTAACGTGAACACTAAGTGTAGAGGCAACCCGGGAAGTGGGGCACATCGACACCCGGAAGCAGTCCTGTGCACCGGAGAGGGCAGACCCCCAACTGCAGCCTGAGCCCCCCAGCTCAGCCCGAAGTTCTGTACGGCCTCGCTGGGGCCATAGACCCACATCCTGAACGAAGGCGTCTCCAGACATTTTGGAGTCGTCCCGGCCTTGGACCACGAAACCGCTGGACCACTGCCCCCACCTCTCTGTCCCCAACACAAGCCTCAGTTTTCAAATGCTGTTGTTATTTTAATTACTTAATTCTCAAATTCCATCCCCAAACTCTTTAACTGGGGTAAAGGGGAGAGCTCACTCTTGGTCGTCCCGCCCCCAGCCAAAAGAGGAATTAGCAATTAAGATGACAAAGTTTTACTCTCTAGGGCCAAATAAGATAACAACTAATCAAACTGCCTTCAGACGTTTGCAAAGGTCACTGGCTGTAAAAAATGTAATGTCAACGGCAACAACTATTATTTCTCTTCAGTAAACTCGTCAGGCTTTCAAGCTCTTTGCCTTTCATTTCATTTTCTGCTCCCAGCCTCTACCAAACCCTTCCCAAGTTCGAGTTAAACGTCCAAAATGGCTTAAGGAGCTTGGGAGAGTATAAGGAAAATAAAAAGGAAGGAAGAAAGAAACCACGTTCACTTTGTTTTTAAACTTTCTAGAAATCGCTCATGAATGAAGAGCCGGGTTTTAGCACTCGAAAAAGAAAGCATTTCCACTTGAAATTCAACTCCATTTCCCCCAATTACACTTGCTAAAATTCAGGGCTATTATGGCGCAGGGAGACTGAGAAAATCTGCACAAGGAAAGAGGCAACAACTTTATGAACTTTGAAAAGACACTTTTCCTCCTGGGATCTTAGAATCGAAAGCTCTCAAATTACTCCGACTAATTAGCTGGGAGAGGAAGTGATCAGACGAGGGGGAAAGCCAATGCTTTCATATAGATTTATTTTCAAGGCCTTACCTAGAAAAACATAAGAGGATTCGGAGTAAAACAAACAAAAGAGCAAACCACTTCTGCACCTCAAAACCTGCTGAAATCCCAACACCTGGTGCGACTGGATCAGAGGAAAACAAGGAAAAATACCCACCAAGCGCAGGGGGCCGGAGGACAGGGAAGAGCCCCAGCCTCCGCAGGCCGAGGGAGATGAGAGTCTGGGGAAGCCTGGGGAGCAGAGAGTTTTCAAGTTCCGAGCTCCGCGCTCCAGCGGAGTTGGGGGCAAGAGCCCGGTGGCTGGATGGAAGCTGACAGTCCTCCCGCTCGGCTCTGAGCTCCCTCGGAGCGCGCGTCCCACCGCCTTGGCCTGGTGGCTTCCTTCCCGGCTCGCGCTAGCTCGCTCTTCCTTCTGCCTCCAGCGTGCGGCTGTCTTGCCGACTGACTCCGCTCCGGCTGGTGGCGGGCGCGGTGCCCCCTCGGCGCTGGAGTGCAGGCTGACTCTTCTGCGCCGGAGTCCAGTGCGGCACAAAGCCCGAGGGTCGGCGGGCGGGCGGAGACGCGGCAAGCCGGTTCCCTCGGCGCTCCCTCGGCGATTCCTCTGAGCGCCCGCTCTCTGCGCGCTCGCTGGGCCTTGGGCTGGACAAAGCAGCCGGTAGCGGTTGCTCTCTGCGGCCGTTCCAGGGCCTTGGACACCACAGAGCTTCTTCGTCTTTTCCCGCGGGTCGGGAGCATTGGGCGACGATGGGGCCGGGAGCCGCGGCTGCTGCCGCGCCTGGAGTCTCCCTTCTTCCCGCGAGCTCAGCCCGCGCTGGCGCTGGCGCTGGCGCTGGCGCTGGCGCTGGGGCAGAGTTGGCCGCCCGCCCCGAGCCCTGCGCTGCTCCCGCTCGCCGGCAGTCGCCCTCCGACGCGGGCTTTCGCTGGAAGTAGAAAGTTTGGGCTCCTGCGTGGAAACTTCTCCGGCCCAACTCTCCCGGCGTAGCAGTGGGGGAGGGGACTGGCGAGAGGGGAGGAAGGAAGGGGGGAGGAAGGGGGAGACCTGTCTGAATATTCCAATAAAAATAAAGCGAGAAGAAAGAAGCGGACTCACCTTTATGAGGCATCCTCTCTGGTTGTCACAGTTCCTGTCAAGAGTTCTGTTTGGTTGGGGTTTTTTGTGCTGCTGTTGTTGCTTAAAGACCACAATGGTTTGAAATGACGGTGTTTTAAAGGAGTTGCTGGTGAGAGTTTTCTCCACGGATGTTGCTGGGTTGGTGTATGAGAGCAATTCTCAGATTCCTGGGAAGGAGACAGAGATTGACAATAAAATGGGTTGTCAGCGGCTGGAGAGTGAGAGATAAAGAGTGTGGGTGAGGGAAGTGGCTGCAGCCAGCACACCTATGCTGATTGGTGATGGCTCAAGTGTGTTAATGTGTGTGTGCCGGCGCCCGGCCTCGCCTCCACCGCTCCTCACTGGCCCATTAGCGAAGCCTGACCTCTGTCATCATCCTCCAGCAAAACACTTCCTCCTGAGCCTGAACCAGAGCGGGAAATGAGGCCGAGCCACGGTTCGCTTTTCAAACCCACTAATCACTCCGCAACATGCAAATGCACCGCTCGCTCTCACACAAAATATTGCTTTATGCAAAGCAGCGCCGGGGCCTCGCGCCAGCCGATTGGATGTTCCCTCTCCCCGCCTGGTGCAATTGGTCCGTTTGTTTGAATATGAATACACTTGTTTTCGGCTCCGCCGGTGGGTCCCTACTCCTATCCCCGGCGCAGGGCCCCCGAGCCCGGGCTCTGGCGCTCGCCCGCATCTCCCCGCTCCGCTCACGCCGAGAGTCGGCGCGGCCCGCCCTGCTGCCGCGAACTTGAGCGATGAAGTGAAGGCTTCTGGGTTGGGGGTCGCGCCCCCACTCCCCCTAAGCTGGGCGCGAGACTCCCAGCCCACGGAGGGCGCAAGTTTCTGCGCTGTCCTTTCTTGCCAACTCCAGGACAGAGTGGCCTGCCGCCCCGACCCCGCCCGCCCCCACCCCATCCCGGCCTGGGCCCCAAGACGCAGAGCACAGCGGCGGCCGCACCCCAGCCCACCTGGCCCCTTGGAAGAAGAAGAAAGAGGCGGGAGCGTCACTGGGTCCTGGCAGCTCCATTCCAGCTGCGGAGGCCGCGGTGAAGCCTAGGCCGAGAGGAGGTTGCCTGGCCGAGAACTAAACGAGGCCAGCGGCCTCCCCAGCCCAAGCCTCCAGGGCCTGTCCAATCCTCCACCCCGTTCCCCCGGCCCTTTCTTCTCTCTCCTTTCGGAAGCCGCGGTGCGCAGCGGAGCGGAGGCACAGCTCCGGCTGGAGAGGCCCAAGTAAACACGCCACTTACTTTGTGTACAGAGGGTTCTTGTGAAAAGCCCTGAAGAGTCCTCACCAAACACTCACCAACTTCTCCCACGTGCCATTTGTTGACTAAGTGCGGCTGCTTTTCGCGGCGCCCGAGAGGAGGGGAAGCCAGGGGAGATGAGAGGGGAGGGGGAGTGGAAGACTGGGTGGGGGGGCGGATGACCAATGCTGGGAGAGATTCTCTCTCTCTCTCTCTCTCTCTGTGTGTGTGTGTGTGTGTGTGTGTGTGTGTGTGTGTGTCTGTGTTTGTGTGTTTGTGTGTGTGTGTGTCCCACCGGCGATGTCGGTATGTCAGCGTGTGTGCCACCGGTCATCTGTGTGTGGTGCGTGTGTCTCCGCACCACGACTCCCTCTCCTGGGTCTGCGCAGTCCACGGAGGCAGCTCCCCTTCAGCTGTTGCCAGAAAACCGGGGAGGAAAGTAAGTAAATGGCTTTTCTCTTCTGACCACACACCAGAAGTCCATTTGTTGAATGCCGCACGATTAGGACACACCTCAGTACACTCCAAAGGCGCCCCTCGGAGCCTGCAGTTAAGGTGACAGGAGAGCGAGCGAATGCCTGGTCCTGCACTGTCCGGAGCTCTCTCGGCGGCTTCGGGCCATGGAGCCGGCTGCAGGACACACTCCAGGACCGGGCAAGGGGGAATGGGGCTGGAGAGCTGAGGCAGGGAGGCTGAAATGAAGCCGCCGCAGGGTACGCTAGACTCTTCTTGACTTAGGGAAAGTGCTGAAAGTCAAAGCCCATCAATAAAATCTGCGCGTCCTGAACTCGCTGCTGACAGGCCGCGTCGCCGCAGCACCTGGGAGCCGGGACAGTGAGGACGCTGCAAGCCTCCCTGGGCCGCCGGGCCACGTGTGGGCCTCACCCTCTCGTTCCTGCCCTGGACCCAGCAGCGCCGCGACCAAGGAGCCCGGGTAGGGCGGGAAGCAGAGGCCTCCCAGGCCCTAGTCAGAGTTAGGGTCTCACAACCCTCTCCCCTCCCCAGGCTGGGGAGGGCTGCCGGCTCTAACCCTTCCCGCGGCCCAGAAGCTCGCAGCGCGGTGGGAAACCCAGGTCAGAGGCGAAGGAGGTGGCGCCGGGTGTACAGGTCCGCTGACTCCTGTGCGAGGTTTCGTTTCGCAGGAGCGCGACTTTCGGAGGATGCCGGGAAGTGGGGCCGCAGCCCTGAGTCCCAGACCAGCGAAAGTCGGTCTTCTCTTTCTCTCTGCTTTTACGTTTCAAGCAAGCATTAAAGAAGCTTGGACTCAAGACTCAAGTCCGCTGTGCATGAGCGAGGGACTTGGGGGGAGGGGTGGGGGCAGTGATTCTGTCCGAACTGGAGGCGAGTATCATTTTTACAACCTCTCAATTAGCGACCGAGTGGATTAGCACCTTCTTAAGCTTTGCCTCGGAAAGAAGCAGCCGTAATCTTGTTGCTATTTCCCCTCAGGGCACTGGCTCTTTGAATCAGCTCCTTCTCCCACCCCTCCAACCCCCATCTCTCTGCGGAGAAAAGTTTTAACAAAAAATCAGAAAAGGCAAGGAGCGAGGAGTGAATGCCACTGACGTCATTGGGTGGGGAAGGGGGCTCGGGGAAAGACTCCTGGAAACTCCTCCGCACAAACAAAAAACAAAAAGGACTTGGCTGCTTCCCATGTGTCAATATTTGGGGAGGGGAGCTCAACCCCAGAAAGAGGCCGAGTTTTCAAAGTTTAAGGAGAGAGGTTGAGAGCGAGATTTCCTGGTTCTCTCTGGACTGGTCTCAAGGAGGGTGGGGGTGCTGTTCTGCCTCGTGGGTAGCCTCACTCCCTCTGCCAAGTACCCGCTCCGGGGGTGACACGGCCTGGGGGTGTGGGGGTCGAGACTGAGGTGCGGACGCGGTCGCCAGAGGTGTGTACAAAACCGAGACAACTCGCAGGTCGCCATTTTAATTGCGGCTACCAACTCACCAGAGGCCCATTTGCTGTCCTCCAAGGCACGGGGGGCGGAGGGGATTGTGCTTTAGGTACTGTCTCGCCTTTCCCCGCCTCTCCACATGCCCCTGTAACCCCCACCCCACCCTCCGCCCCCTGTGGCCAGAGGGAGGACCTCTCAGGCCGAAGGGTGCGTTCCTGCGGGGCCGCCGGGGTCTTCCCACCCCGTAGAGGGGCTGTCTGCGTGGAGGGAGTCCCGTTGGGGTACTGTGGCTCGCCAGAGCCTGCCCAGAGCTTCTAGCCAGTATTGATGCGTCAACATAAGGTCAGGCAAGCATCTCACCCGCACTGGTCTCTGGCATTTCCCTGTGCCCACCCCATCAGACCTTCGGGGAGGCAAAGAAGTGCCCACTTCTGGGGGGATGTGCCTCCAGCTCCCAGCTTCAGAACCAAGAGTCTCCCATCCCGAGTTCTGACACCTCTGAACTCTCTCTTTCCCCGGCCAAGCAGAGGCTCAGCGCCGGCGCGCTGGAAAGGGTGAAGACTGGCATTTCTTTGGAGGAGGAAAGTCTTGGCAGACACCTGCGTCACTTTGTAGTGCCCCAAACGTCTCTCTCTTTGCAGACCCTGGGAAGGTGGGATCCCTGGTCCGCGGAGCTGGCAAACGGGTCCAGTAAGCACTAAAAGCAAAGGCTCCCACCCTGGCCGCCAAGTCCCAGGTGCCTCCCCCGCTTCCAGGCCTTTGTCCCTCTCCTTTCTCAAGCAACCTGCCGGTTCCCGCTAACCCGGCAGCTTCACTGATCCCAGAGCCTAGAAAATCCAAGAAGATCCCAGAGACGCCCTGTGGCGCCTCCGGGCTGTGGCCACTGCTCAGCTGCGGGGGAGGCCGCTGTGCCCTCGCCCTTCCTTGCCTCCTGCCAAATGGCCAGTGCTAGGGGCTCCCTGGGTTCCGTCCTCAGTCCTCTTCCATTCACTCTGGGAGGCCAGTCTCTCTCTCTCTCTCTCTCTCTCTCTCTCTCTCTCTCTCTCTCTCT